TCTATTTAAATTATAAAAGTACAATATTCAAGAAAACGTTTTTACACTTAAATCAAATAGTGAATTTGATGGGAAATTGTTAATTTAACACAATTTTTTTGTAACACTTGCTAATGAAATTCAAATATCAGCCTTAATGTAGAGCATTAATGCACCAGACAGAGTGAAATTACAAAACCGTTGATGGTGATTTCAATTGATAGTAAAATGATATGGTTCTCTGAGTTGTTATTTTAAAGACAGAAAAAGAAATTTTTTTTTAGGACAGCATTTATGCTACACAAAACTCAGCATTTCCATATGGTCAGTAGGACAAAACGAGAGTAAAGAAAAACCATTATTGTGTGTAGCTCTGAAACTTATCTTTATTTCCTGAACGAATTTCTGAAAAAATTTCATGAAATTTCCAGCTGGAAATGTCATTGACATTCCCCAAAGAAAGTCTACAGAGTATTATATTGCGAGGCCAATGTATATTTTGAATAATATTGTAAACTTAATGAAACTTCATGTTTTTCATTAGACTTGCATCTTACTTTCCCCAAATCCCCAAAGCAACTGTAAACCAGGTGAAAATTTTTGTAATTGATACATAAAGCCTAAACATGTCTCTGGAAATTATAGCAGCTGTAAGCAAGTAGTAAACAGGCACTTTCACTGTTAATATTATTGATTTCTTTGGAAATTTGAAACTACCATTTGTATCTATTTCAAGGCATAGGTGTACATTTGTGGAATTGAAGCTAGTTGGAAAATAAGTTAGGTATAACTGAACAAAGAATATATTATAATATTTCTGGTAAAAAGCCAGGCTTCAAAGCAGGATTTTTTTTTTTTTAATGGAAACAAGAAAGAATCTTGGCATATGCTTCGTACAAGTCTTAGCATTTCAAAAGCTTGGTTAAAGGAAGATTATATCACACTTCCCTAATTTCCAGGCAGAATGCAATAAAAATATCCCTTAACTGTTTCGTTTTATCTAGTAACAGTGAATTCAAAACTTGTCTTATGCTACCCAAAACTATAAAGAACAAAGAAAAGAGAACCCAAGGCTTTGAAGTTACCAACAGAAGCCTTACCTGGAGCATAGCCATGATCACTCTAACCACTGACTAAGTTTGTAATTGTGTGAATGACCCATAAGTCTAGCAGAAATCTGCAACTGATTGGAATAATGTCTAGGACACAAAGTAAGGTCAATACTTGCATACTCGTGTTCACTGCAGCACTGCTTACAATAGCTAAAATGGAGAAAGAACCCACGTGTCCATGCACAGAAAAATGGATTAACAAAATATTCATATAATGCAGTAGTCTTTGGTCATAAAAAGAAATGAAGTTCTGATGCATGGGTAAATAATATGGGTAAACCTAGAAAATATTCTGTAGAATGAACTCAAGTCAGACACAAAAGGACAAATATCCCATGATCCCACTTGTATCTAGAAATAGCTAAAATAGGCAAATGCATAGATACAAAAGTTTATTAGTAGTTAGCAAGGGTAAGAGGGAGGGGGAAATGGAGAGGTATTGCTGAAGAGGTGTTGAGTTTCAAGAATGATTTAAAATTTGGAAATGGATAGTGGTAATGAGTGGTTGCACAAGACAGTGAATGTAATTATTATTAAATTGTACACACAAAAATCATTGAAATAACAAATGTTTGTTATACATATTCACAATAAAAAAATGATTATTGAAACTCTATTAAACCTATAGGCAATCACCAAAAACCAAAACCAAACTCAGTGCCATCGAGTCAGACATGACTCATAGCGACCCCTCCTTGAGTTTCCGAGGCAGTATCACTACGGAAGTAGATTGCCCCATCTTCCTTCTGAGGAGTGGCTGGTGGGTTTGAACCTCCAGCCTTCTGGTTAGCAGTCAGATGTCTTAGGCACTACACTACCAGAGCCCCCAATAAGCAATGAAGGAGCAACAAAATCATTGATGATGAAAGTCTAAGGAGTTGGTTACCATGGGGAGCCACAGTGGAGTTAATGTTATATGCTTTATAGGCATCATTTCTATTTAGAAATAATGGTAATCCCATGCATTTTTGCTAGAGATTGGTCACAACTCTCACCATATACACACACACATATATATATATATATATATATATATACTTGTTTAAAACAGATTAATTTTAAAGACAATTGATAAATTATAGTAACTTAGAATTAATTATTTCATTTTACCTTCTCAGAAACTCTGTAACATAGATATTAAATCTGTGTTTCACAGATTAAGAAACTAAAGCTCCAAGAAGTTAAGTAATTCCATATTTAGCAGTTATACTAATATTGTTAGATTGAAAATTCATTTTGAATAATCTTCTAATCCCTTCACCGGAAGGTTGGTGGTTCCAACCCACCAGCCACTGCATAAGAGAAAGATGTGGAAGTCTTCTTTTTAAAAGATTTACAGTCTTGGAAACACTATGGAGGCAGTTCCACACTGTCTACATGGTCACAATGTTTTGGAATTGATTTGGTGGCAATGGCTTTTGTTTTGGTTTTTAAGTTTAATGATGATGTGATAATCAGGTTCTCTTTCAGTTCTTCTGAAGGTATTTCCTCACTGTTGTTGTTAGGTGCTAACCGGTCAGCCCCGACTCATAGCAACCCCTCCTTGGGTTGCCGAGGCAGTATCACTACAGAAGTAGATTGTCCCATCTTCCTCCCAAGGAGTGGCTGGTGGGTTTGAACCACCAGCCTTCTGGTTAGCAGTCAAGTGCCTTAGGATGGGTCCAAATTAGAAGGAAGAAAGGGGAGCCATTTCCACTCTTGTCTTTATTATGGATAGCATCTTTTTGTTTTAGTAACTTATTTTGGAGAAAGCTCTGCTCCATCATTATTAAATGAATGATTTCCAAGTGAGTAGCTCTCAACCTTCATATATTCAGGATTGTATTTCTTTCCTACCAATATTTATCCCTGGAAGGAAGATGGGGCAATCTACTTCTGTAGTGATACTACCTTGGAAACCCAAAGAGGGTTCGCTATGAGTCAGGTCCGATTCGATGGCACATAACAATAACAACAAACCAACAGACATGTTTATTAAGTAATAATATGTTTTCTAATTCTAAATTTATCAGTGAAATTTATAACTAAGTTAAAGTTATATATCATTAATCATTCTTTTGGCTATTGAAATATTAAGTATAGTTGTAAGCTTCTATTATCACTGTTGAGGGTGCCTGGAGAACTGGTAGTTTATGACAAGAATCATTGGATTAGACAGATGAAACTCAGGTTTTTTCCAACTTCAAGTTCTGATGGAAACTCTGAAGTTAGCTGGAATCATCTGGATAAATTCCAAATTACTGGAAGTTAAGTTAACTTGTGCTTCAAAAACTGATATTTCAGATCAATTAGTTCTTCTAGGACACTTTTTTCTTTTCTTTTCTTTTTTTTTCTGAAAGAGATGGGGAAGCTGAGACACAGAAATTAATTGACCTGCCATGTGTTTACTGTCTTTTGGCCTCCATTAACACATGGATTCAGGGGAAAATCTGAGTTCCACTAGTAATAGGTACATACCAGTAGGATTCTCTTATTCACATATGTGATCTTGTCTTTCTTTTTTTTTTCTTTAAAAAAAAACAAAAAAACACAATTTTGAAGAATATTTTCAAGTATCATGGTGTGTATACTCTAGGAAAGATACATACATTGTAGTGTCATCTTGAATCTGACACACTATGAAAAAGATGAGACTTACGTTTTTTTCCCACAGATGGCACCTTGATACCAGTTCCTACAAGTGCTTAAATATTTCTTTTTGGTGCCTATAATCTGTTGAAGGGCACAGACATTTGGACTGGAGGGTAGAGAGAAGGAAAGAGAGTTAATGTCCTAAAGATGAATAGTCCTTCATATCTACAGTCAGATGGTTAAAAAAATAACATGTGGATTTGATTTTCAAAGATGAGATTTTAGCCTTGCAAGATCTGTTTCTTAATCCCATGCTGCTGAATCATTGGAAAAACTAATCTGTGGAAGAGAGAGGGAAAGAGGAAATTTTACATCCTTGAGAGTAAAACTCCAGTGTTACAAAAAGTTAGCCTAATAGGAATATTCAGGCACCATTAAGTTTAACATAATCTTGTTCATATTATATCTAAAGGAGCTGATCCAATGACTCTGGTATTTAAACCAAATGTGTGCTCATTTTGGGACTGGGAGTGGCTTTAAGGTTCTCTGGGACAATGAAAGGTCAGAGAGCACAAGAAGCAACTTTTACTATGTCCAAAGAATTTTGTAGTTTTCTAGGTAAGCCGTCATAGATGCCAGGGACTTCTGATGAGTGGTAAAACAAACTTTTAAGCATGTAGCAAAATTAAATTTTTGAAGGAAAGCAAGAGATCAGAACACTCTCAGCCATCTCTTAAAGAGATAGTAGTCTTATTTTCACTAGAAGGCAAGAGAGCTTTTGAACATTATGGAACTCCCGGTGAGTCGTAGGATTAGTGCCAAGATCTACTTTTAAAAAAAGTCATAAAAACTTGGTTATTATTGGGGGCGACTCAACGGCAAACAACAACAACAAGATTTTTAAAATATTAAGCTATAGTTGAATTTATTTTATGAAATATTAATTTTTTAAAAATGTATGGGATGCAGAATTTAAAATAATTTAAATGCTGGAAAGAATTCAGAGATCTAGTTACACTTCTCATTATTAAATTTTCATATTTTTCGAATATGTAACTTAAATGAAACATATGCAAGTTTGCTTTAACAGTTTGTGAGATATTTTCAAGCTGTTCACATAATCATAGCCTCTAAAAACTGATATTTTAATTTTGAAACCTTGTTCCAGATTTCTGAAATGAAATAAAAGTACAAATAATCTAAATCATAAAACAAAGCTCTGTTACATTATATTAATTATGTTAAAATTATGTTAATATTTCATAAAAAGCAAGAGTAACTCAAGTTATTTTAACAGCTATCCTTAAAGTTTAAAATACATATATGTCACAGAATACTCATTTTATCCTTTTTCATACTTTATTATATGTAAAAAAAGAAAAGGAAAAAAAAATCCTTTTCCTTAATACTTTGTAATAAGTTAAAAAAGAAGCTCTGAGATAGCTTGAGGAACTTTATGTATAACATTTAACAAGGTAAGGGGGAAACAAAGGTTTATAAAAACCAAACCATTAACTTACCCCTGGTCCCGGCCTCTGATACGGCTATGAGCCAAAATCTTGTCATAATGACCATTGGCATCTGCAGGGTTAAAAATGAACAGCAAGAGTAGGGAAAATATAGCTAAGAAAGGAATCATTTTTATTCTCTTTGTTGCACTCAGTCCACAAAGAGAACTGGCAGTGGGCTTTGGAGATCTCAGAGTTTATATACATGTCAGAGCTGTGGGAGGGAGCAACCTGGGAATCTGAACTCCCTCCAAGAAACATCAGCAAGTTCAAGCTGTTGGCTAAAATCTGCCTGGGTTAATTATATTTACTCAACATATTGAGCCTCTTTGCTTCTCAGTATGAACAAAAATTTATTTTTTATCATGTGAAAAAATGATTCATTGCATGTTCATATTTCAGTTTTATTCTTATGTAATATAGAGGTTTTTATAGCAGATGATTTTAAAAAATAAGAGTTTTTAAAAATATCCTGCAGTCTCACTTTCAGAGTGCTAGAAATAGATTGAGTTAACATAATTCTACTTCTGGCAAGTTGCCCTAGCTGTTAAAATGAAGCAGAAAAGGAGAAACATTTATGCTTTATTGTTTTTTCATTACATATTTCAACATGTTGAAAATCTCTGGGCAATACATCTACTGATAACCGCTGACAAAAGCAGTACTTATTGGAAACAAGTATTATTAATCTAAATGTAGTAGATTCATTACAGACCAATTTAGAAACAAGAGTATTGACAAAATTGCTTTTGTGATTTTATCCAAGAGTAAGTAAAGTCTCTTAATGTTAAAACTGCGCAGTCTGTAGTAAAGGAAATATGCATTCCTACCATTCTTTGTCAAATGTTTAGAAGCTTTTGATAAAAGAAATCTGATTGTCATAAATCATCAATGAAGAAATGATAACTATAATCAGTCTCCTTGAATAAACAAGTTACACACTATCTTCAAGTAAAAAAAAAAAAAAACATTGCTGTTGAGTTGATTCTAAATCGTGGCAACGTTTTAAGACAGAGTGGAAATCTTGATAGGAGCAGATTTTTTTTTCCCACAGGGTGGCTGGGGTTTCAAACCACAGAACTTTTCATGCAATTCACATAACATCTTGTTGGAAAGTAATGGTGTGTTACTGTAATGATACATCTGTTTTGTTTTCTTGATGGTGACATGGAGAAATTTTGCATGGCCTTTCCATGTAGTCCAATTGAAAGGGCTTTTACAGGAGGCTGAGCTAGGCCAGAGTGGATTCAATGTGTCAGAAGAATTAGGTTAAGCCAGCCGTGGGATTTTGCCCTGGAGAATTAAAATAATTCTCCAATTTGCTGCTAGTTTACTAAGGAAGTATAGCATGGAAGAATAAATTCTGAAATTTCATTTAGAACCCTTGTTTCAATTGGAAAATCATGTTATTAAAGAATAGAAAATGAAGCAATCATTCAAAGAAGAGCTAGAGAAATTGTGTAAAACAACTATATTCCTTCCTTTAAGCCCTTGTGGAAAGATTATCAACCTACCATTTCTAGTTCTCTGGATACAATTATTCCAACTCCATCTGTATTTCTCTGGTTGTCTTTATACAACAGTTGTATATTATTTTTATGTTGGGCAAATGGTAGGTGGTAAGTAACTTCTTACCAAATAGAACTGAAGGATTATTTTATAAATATAAAATGCTCACCCAGAAGTGCTTCAAAATTTATTAGTTCTACTTAATGTCAGAGGAGCTCTGGTAGCATAATGCTTAAAGGCACTTGACTGCTAACCAGAAGGCTGGCGGTTCAAACCCACCAGCCACTCCTTGGAAGGAAGATGGGCAACCTACTTCTGTAGTGATACTGCCTCAGAAACCCAAGAAGGGGTAGCTATGAGTCAGGTCCGACTTGACGGCACATAAAAACAACAACAACTTAATGTCAGTAAAGTAGCTGATAGAAGATTCTCGAACTGTTATATAAAAGTCTTCAATTTTAGAATGGTTATTGTTGTTGTTGTTAGTTGCTGCAGTCTGTTCCCACTCATAGTTACCTCATGCACAACTGAAGGAAACACTGTCCAGCCTTGCACCACCCTAACAATCACTGCTATGTTTGAGCCCCTCTTTGCAGCCACTGTGTCAATCCATCTCCTTGAGGGTCTTCTTTTTTTTTTTTTTTTTGCTGACTCTCTACTAAGCATAATGACCTTCTCCAGGATCTAGACACTTCTGACAACATGAATAAAGCATGTGAGACAAATTCTGCCCATTCATGCTTTTAAGGAACATTCCATCTCCACGTCTTCCAAGACAGATTTGTTTGTTCTTTCTCAGTCCATGGTGTTTTCGGTATTCTTTGCCAACACCACAAATCAAATGCATCGATTCTTCAGTCTTCTTTATTCATTGTCCAGATTTCACATGCATATGAGGCAATTGAAAATACCATAGCTTGGGTTAGGTGCACCTTAGGCTTCAAGGTGACATCTTTGCTCTTTAACACTTTAAAGAGGTCTTTTGCAGAAGAAGTCTATCTGCAATATGTCATTTGATTTCATTAATTAATTGTGGACCCAAGTAAAAGGAAATCCTTGACAACCTCAGTCTTTTCTCCATTTATGGTGATATTGTTTATTGGTCCACTTTTGAGGATTTATTTTTTTCTTCATGTTGAGGTGTAACCTATACTGAAGCCTGTAGTCTTTGATCTTCCTCATTAAGTGCTTCAAGTCATCTTCACTTTCAGCAACCAAGGTTGTGTCATCTGTATATCATAGGTTGTTAGTGAGTCTTCCTCCAATGCTGGTGCTGCATTCTTCTTGATATAAACCAGCTTCTTGGATCATTTTCTCAGCATGCAGATTGAATATGCGTGATTAAAGGATAAAATCTGATGTACACCTTTCATGATTTTAAACAATGCAGTATCCCCTTGTTCTGAAGGACAGGTTCCTGGTCTATATACAGGATCCTTGTGAGCACAATTAAGCATTTTGGAATTCTTATTCTTAGCAACTTTATCCATAATTTGTTATGAACTACACAGTCAAATGCCTTTGCTTAATCAATAGGCAATATAATGTAGGTTTCTTACCCTTAAGATATAATAATAGAATTTTGAACTTACTGAAGAATAAAACAAACACAAAATACAGAAATCTTTCCAATATCGCCACTATAAACAATAGTTATTCAAGAGTTTACTGGCATGGTTACCACTATTCATTCTACTGTTTTTCATTTTTAGGTAGCTGCAACTATCAACAAGCATTTCTGTATACAGTGCTAAAATCTACTCAACTCCAGTGGGTTTGATAAGCGACAAGAGATGAGGTATTTTGTTGTTTTATGCTATTGAGTCTATTCCAATTCAAAGCCATGCTATAGAATTGAATGTAACTACCCCATAGTGTTTCCTAAACTGTGATCTTTATGGGGGTGGATTGTCAGGTGTTTTCTCTCTCTTAGTGGAGTTGAACCAGCCTTCCTATTTGTAGCTGGACATGTAACCATTGCTCTACTAGGGCTCCTTAGGATAAGCTGTAGAAGGGAAGAGATAGAGATTTGTATAATATGTAACAAGAGTGAAAAGAGACATCTTTAATTCAGTGCAGAATAATAACAAATAGACTTGGTTATGAGTATTGAGGTGAAGACGGAATCAAGTGTTTCTTGCCATATCCCGGTTTTGTCACTGGTGCCTGCAATAAATTGAAACTATACTGATTAATTTAACAGTTTTTGACCTAGCTATTCCTCATACTTATCATTTTGTGCCACTGGAATCAATGGCTTTCATTTACCTTCACACTTCTAGTGCTCAGAATGGTCAAAAAGTCACATGAAATGTGTAAAGGAAACAGAAATGTATCTGTATTTCAAAAGATTACTTCTCTCTTCTTTTAAGCCAAGTTTACTTTTTGTAAAAGATATTATATATGCTCACACAATAAAAAAAAAAAAAGCTTTTTTTTTTCAAAGTTTCAAATAATAAAATATCTTAAGTTTATCTTTCCTGAGCATCAGATTTGGAAGTATAAGTTCCATGGAAATCAACAAATACTGGCTCTCAACAAATGTTTACAGTTAAGATTAGTAATTGCATTAAGACAAGTATTGAAAATAAGTGCCAAAGTATGGATGTAAACTACATATAAAATCAGAGGCTGGAGAACATTCCAGGGGAAGGAAAACGTTAGGGTAAACATAACAAAGTTTTCTTTTATGACTTTCATTATTGATTTAATTGCCATGATTTCAATCTTACTCCAAACTGTGGATCAGTGGATTATGTGGCCAACCCAGGGGTGCAAAACACTGCAATTCTAAAGGCTGAGGCCAGCCCAGCCATGAGCTATTGTGTGCTGAATAGTGTAAGAAAGCTCAGGCAAGCATCCTGTCTCAGGGAGGCTAATAACTGAATGAGTCCTGGCATATAGCTGACAGTTGCCAGTATGGTGAGGAATGGAAAGAATTCCAGAAAACAAGAAAAGATAGATCTTGGGAGGGACACAATTCTCCCCTTTCAGAGCACATATCAAGGGTAAATCTCTTTTCCCCTCTCTCTCTGCACAGGAGCCTCATTCTTCTGCTTCATGAAAGGATCCCGCCACTGATTCCTAGCAGACTGGAAGAAGATTGAAATCATGGCAATTAAGTCTGACTTTCAGGGTTGACCCAAAAATGTAAATCATTAATGAAAAAGAAATGGTTTATTATGTAACCAAAGAAAAAGAATGTGTCTGAAAGACAGAGACATTTGTTTCTAGATATCAGGATGGTAATTTATTGGGAGTTCACAAATTACCCAGTGCATCTCTGTAGCAAGCACTGTACCTCTGGAGACTGGGAAGTCATTGTAGTATCCTGCTCCTATCATTAGTCTGTAATCAACCTTAAAGTTGCCCTACACAATGTACAACTGGACACAGGACATGGATTCAACAAACTTGGGTATTCAAGGCAAAATTAGTTTTTAAAAATCAGAATTTCTTTAGTTTTGAATGATCTACAGTGGTTATTTTCACTCTATTTCAAAACTCCTGTTTTTTTAGTATGTGATCTGTAGAATCTTGACAGCATTTTTTTAGTACAATTTTGCTTTATTGCAACCCTATTTAGAAAACGCAGCATCGTGATAAATGGAGAAAAGATTGAAGTCA